AAAAAAAAAAAGTAAAAACTGGCCTGAAAGATGTGGTAGTAAAGCAGAAACTTAGAAGGTGGCAAAAATACTCAGCTCCAAGGTTGGAATCTGAAAGTTTAACTATACCACTTGTACCACTTTGATTTTCTTCCCCACTCATTTTGTGCATAGTACACCATTTTCCCTCCCAATTGCAGGTGTGGGAGAAAAGAAAACATTACAAAATTAAGCATACTATACCGAACTGCTCAGATCTTTCCCCATATTTTTTTTTTTTTGAGACAGTCTTACTTTGTCACCCTCAGTAGAGTGCCGTGGCATCACAGCTCACAGCAACCACCAACTCTTGGGGTCAAGTGATTCTCTTGCCTCAGCCTCTCGAGTAGCTGGAACTACAGATGCCCACCACAATGCCCAGCTCTTTTCAGAAGTGGGGTCTCACTCTGGCTCAGGCTGGTCTCCAACCTGTGAGCTCAGGCAATCCACTCTCCCCTGTATTCTTGCAACATTTAAATCTAAAACTCACTTGATTGGCTAGAACAATCTCAGACTCTAGAGCCAACATATTCCTAAAAGAAGAAAAATCTGAGGGCTGGGTGTGATGGCTTATGCCTGTAATCCTAGCACTCTGGGAGGCTGAGCCTGAGGCCGAGGCAGTGGATTGCCTGAGCTCACAGGTTCAAGCCTAGCCTGAGCCCAGAGCAAGACCTTGTCTCTAAAAATAACCGGGCATTGCAGCAGGCACCTGTAGTCCCAGCAATTCTGGAGGATAAGGTAAGAGAATGGCTTGAGCCCAAGAGTTTGAGGTTGCTGTGAGCTGTGAGAGTGACAAAGTGAGACCCTAGCTCAAAAAAGAAAAAAAAAACCTGAGGGACTTTAGGCTAAAAGTCTACCGGAGGCAGAAAATCACTGTGAGAAACTCTTTTAGATTAGGTAAAGGATATATAAATCCATAAATGAAAGACATTGGTTCAGTTATCTATTTACTGGAAGAGATGCATAACAACCCTAACTCAGTTAAATAAAACAACAATTTTTATTATGCTCGTGGAGTCTTCAGCTCAGGACTTAGAACAAGGAAGAGCAAGGATGGCTTATCTCCGGTCCTTGTTCCTAGGACCTCAGCAGGGAAGTCTGGAACAGCTGGAGAGTGACAGGAATGGCGGGGGCTGGAATCTGCTCACCCACTCCCACAACTAACACATGGACTAGGCTGACCCAGCTGTGACGGGCAACTCACATGTCTTCAAGGGGCTCTCTATGAGTCTTGGACATTTTCACAGCATGCCAGCCTCCAGTAGTGGGACTTCCTACATGACGGCTGAGAATTCCGAAAGTTAGTGTTCCAGCAGACAAAGCAGAAATGCATGACCTTGTGATCTAGCCTCAGAAGTCACATATGGTGACTATGGTCACTTTCACCATATTCTTTTGGTCAACTCAGTCACAAGCCCACCCAGATTTGAAGAAAGAGAACACAGCCTCTATCTTTTTATGGGAAGAATATCAAAGAAGTTGCAACCAGATTTTTAAAATACCATGGTCATATTTATACAGAGAGATATGGAGATATGTGCCAAAAGATGAACAATGTCAACCTTCCAGGATCCCTCAAAGTGAATTTAACCTGTTCTTTTTCTATTTTATTTTTTGAGATAAGGGTCTTGCTCTGTCTCCCAGGCCAAAGTATAGTAGCATCATTGTAGCTCACCACAATCTTAAACTCCTGGGCTCAAGTGATCCTCCTGCCTCAGCCACTGAGTAGCTGGAACTACAGGCACATGCCACCACTATTAACTTATTATTTTAGCGAGACCAATCCAACTTATCATCTAATAATAACAAAATTCCTCCTATTTTCATGTGATGCACTAACAAAGAGAAATTTCACTTAATCCATTTAACTTGCTAACTAACAGCTTGCTTTTGACCCTAGTACCATCTGCCATTTATAACCACTTATTTTCTAAACACTATCAAGCTCAGCTTCACCCTTAGGCTTAGAAATAGTCATAACCAGACAGAATACCGAGAATACCTAGAGAAAGCAAACTAAACAGATTACTATCACATCAGCATTCTAGTTGCTAACACTAGTGGCCATTCTCTATCAGTGACTACTAGATTTTAGGATGTCATGGGTCAAGAAAAATTTCAGAAATAAACCAAATGGTGGGCAAATAAAGTTACCAACTTTTTTTGCCAAAGTAAGAACATGTGAAGAACTACTACCTATTATCTTGTTAAAAAATAGAATAGACAAGTTCAAAATAAAATTAAATTGTTAAGAGTAAATAAATTTAACTAAATGAACAATTCATTACATATCTCTATCTACTATATAGATACACAGAGTACCAAAAAATGCATATACATTTAAGAAAAAACTAGTAAAACTATGATTTTAAAATTATTATAATTATATTATATTATTATATATTAATATATACCAATAACATTTGTTATCCTGTATCTCTTAAGACTTTATTACAATTTTAACACAATTTTTTCCTTTCTTGAAATGTGTATTCATTCTTTTGGCACGTCTGCATATACACATTTGTATATATACACACATACCTACATACAGGTTGAGAATACCTTAACCCAAAATGCTTGGGACCCAAAGTATTTCAGATTTCAGATTTGGGAATATTTGTATTACTCTTACTGGCTGAAGAGA